ATATCGGCCGGCCGATATATCGGTCGACCTCTAATGTAAACCCTATGTAATGGCTGCTCATTCACAGTTCGGAGGACGAAATGTGATCTAAAAATACAATAAACCAATAAATAAAATCGCTGACAGAATAAACAAATCATTGTCACAAGTGAATGAATAAATCTCTAGAACAATATTTACACCAAATATTGTTATTTCTTCATCGGTCTATTGCTGCGGTTGGTAGCCCTGACCTTTTCCTGAGGCACTACTGCCCAGATGGGCAACCCAGGTAGAAGCAACTGATCGACTAGTTGTCGTCTCATCAAGCAATGGCTTCCACAAGGAAACCACCATCTGCGGTGTTAAGGGGAGGAGCTGAGCAAACTGAACACTAGGCCGCTGCATACATCAAATGGAAGGACCGATTCCATTTTAGCAATATGCCGTTGTACGAGTGGTGACCACCATTTCAGTACCAGCAACTTCATCAAGAAACAGAATTAAGTTAAATCCATTCTGCCATTAAGTATATTAAAAACGGGGAACTGAAGCTATGTCAGGCATTACTCGAGCTTAAGTAGTGTTAAAATTGAGGCTTTATTAAAGATTAAAAGAAACCAATAGTATTCTTTCCTGGTTGTAAACAGAGTGAAGTTCAGCCGTGACGTTACACAGAATCCCAGGATTGACAGTTAAAATCGAACCATTCAGTTAGTCTCTCACAGGGAACCTGATGGGTGGGGAAGGTGAGGAAGCACTTGGTTCATTTCATTTTAATGCTTTGGGGTCGTTAGGTTTCTGATTTTAGAGCCCATTGCCAAATAGGTTTTAGATTTAGTGGGCAAACATTTCCTTGGACATAAGAGGTCGTAGGATTGGGTAAAGGTTAAGAATCACTGCTCCTTACCATGCTGCCCTAGAAATATGCCTTGACCCAAAGCCTACAGTGGGATTTGTTTTGCCACTTCTTCAGACATTGAAAACATGCTATGACCACAAGAGGAGTGACAGCGCTGGAATATAAAATACACGAGGCCGTGTGCAACAACACGGAGATATGCTATGATGAGGGAGTACTGGTAAACTCCTGACAGCCTCGGGTCTCAATCCAACGTTCAAGCACAATATGTCTAATGTGTGCCAAAGGCTTACAAGACTATATTGTGCAACTCTAAATGCTGTAACTACACATGAAGCACAATGCTGTTTGATTCCAAGTGTGCCTCATTTTAGGTGGACTTCGAAAACTGCAGACAGCATTGGATTGCATCTTGCCAAAGCTTTTGGGGGGGGGGGGGGAAGAGGCGACCCCAGGCTCATATTACACTAATCTAACGGCTTCAAACACGATGTACTGAACAAATCGTTTTATATCAAGGCAAAACAGTAAAGTCTGACAGACGACACGTTTCTGTTCTCAGGCTTCCAATTGCATGTTGCGGAAGAGTACAAAAAAAACTTGTAGCAAGGGGTGCCCAGTCCCCAGACACACCAAGCAGTGATCTCTTTTGGTTTAAGTAAACCTGTCAGAAGCCACCACAAAGAAAATTGAACCTTGAACTCAAACTACTGAATAAAAAATATGGAACTCCAATTCAACAGATATCAGTATGAAAAAACTTGTTAAAAAGGTTGAAATTAAATTGACTTAGATGTACAACCCAGGAAGCAATAGGTATTTCAGATAAACATGTGGACAATTTGTAATGGTCAGGTGGGAAAAATGACCTTGAATGCCCCCTTTAAAGAACCAAGTGGGATTAAACTTTGAACTGCAGAAAGGTAATGCTATTAAATGTCCTTCAAAACACCTGTTAAACGATGAAAAATGTCCTTGTTCACTATAAATTAGTGCCGTTTCACAGAACAGAGTTCTACTGAATATCATAAAAACAACCATCAGCTTTGATAGTACTGATCAAGGCTTTTCCCTCAATGCAATCCACAAGAAACAAGCAAAAATGTTTTAAAACAAGATCCATGCAGAGGCACCCAACCTAACACAGACGAACATTAGGCTCAATGCGAGATTACCCTGTAATTACCACAATATTTTAGCATGGGCATGTATGAGGGAACAGCTGAAGGGGCCAGATAGCCGAAAATAAAAAATGTGTCAGAATTAGTTCTTTTATTGTAGAGAAACAAACCAAGCACATTAATTTTGTGTTGAGGGAAACAGAAAATTGATCAGATCCAGTCACATCAGTTATGGCCCAGCTTAAACTATTTAGCCACATGTAGTTTTGTCTTGCATTACAACACACACATAAGTGAACATTTCAGGTAAAAGGGTATTTTTCAACACACAAGCAACTAGGGTGAGCAATGATAAATTACACTGCAGTAACAACTCTCAGAACTCCCATTCCAGCTGGAGCATAACCATGCATTTGTGGACGCATGCACAGCCATACTAACCAGTCTCCGCCTGGGGCTGCTGCATCTCCTGCTCAGGGGTCGGAACAGTTTCTGTAGCTTCACTGGGCATTTCTGAAAATGACAGCAGAAACAAAGATTACATTCATACTGCAAATCTGTTTCACTAGAAATATGAGCCGAAGCACCTCCCAACAACTGGATTTTATGTTCACTGCAATAAGAGTTATACCAAGGCACTCTGGGAAAAATTGTACTAAAAATATACTAAGCAACGCAACTTACAAATATAATATTCATACACGCGGGAAGCAGAATGAACGATCAAAACAAAGTTAGATAACCTACGATAATATTACCATTAAAGCAGTCTGCTATCATATTGTGGGCTGCATCAAAACATCATAGGCCCAAGTCTCTAACATTATACCATAAACTGAAACGGCTACCTTCCAAGATAGTTACGAATGTCGCTGAGGGTAATACTCCTATATTACAATGGTTATTTGAATGATTGCTAGCATTTTCCGTTTAAAACCAAATACAAAGAGACCAACATGGCCACAGACGCACACGCCTGCTTTAGTTCGTGTCCCTACCCTTACAGACATGTGGAACATGTGACTATTAACTTCATAAAAGGGCTACGGAGACAGAGTGTACTGAACATTAAACTTTATAACTTCATAGCAAACAAACAACTACCGACAATTGTTTTGGCACGTCGAAATTGTTTTATTTTACGGCTATACTTTATCGTGAGAGTTACTTAAGATACCTGCCATTACCACAAAGCTGGCTGGCCGCGATCGTGTTACAACTCGGCTACGGTTGCAACACCTGAAGAACACTGACGATTTTTTGTAAAACAATAGTTTAATGTGTCTAAAAACGTATTAACCACGAGCCTCTATAATGTTGGAAGCACACCATACGGTCTACCCAAATTATATCGACATGTGCTGATTTTAACATTATCTAAACAGTACTGAGAGCACCATCCCCATTTTGAACCAGAACTCAATTATGAAGCGTAGTTTTAAAGAAATTGCACAAATCACAAAAATAAGACACAAAATTGCCTCCCAGTAACACGTAGTTTTATTAAATACACATAAAACACTTAATCAAGCTAGTATATGTTAGATGATTGCGGATTAGCAACAGCAACACTTACTGTGACAAAGTTTCAGATCCAAGATGGCTGAAAAAGGGGTTCGCTGAAGCCCACAGGAATAGATATCGCTACCTAGCGGAAAATAGCTTCTTCTTCCGGGTCATGGGTCCACGTGACACTAAACGAGCTTTCCCCCGAATCTGGTTGGTTTATGGCCAGATGACGCTTTCAACGCGGTTTATTGCTTTCAAGTCAGGAGAAAAATAAATAACGCTGAGGCCGAAACAGACGCTAAAATGTAATTTGACTTTATATTATGCTAATTTCCAGTCAGTTACGATGGACTGGGTAAGTGACGATTACCCTTCACGCACCGTTTTACCTTGGTATGAAAACAGGTGAACTAAACCGATGAAGAGTGTCGATGAGGTTTCCCTGTTTACAGTTTAGCTTCTGTTCCCGAAACCGAGATTAGACTTAGCGTCACCAAATCACCGTGACAACTAATGCGTTAGCAACTTAAATACTATAAATCATCCGACTGCATCGATCCAACTATGAAGTTGTTAACAGGAGATTATGGAAGACGAACTTCGTAATTATACCTACTGCAGCGTGGGTTTACCTGACAGAAATTTTGGTCTCAGTTCGAACATCACCCACTGTTGATGATGTGATTTGCACTCACATCTTTCAAGTTTATGCATTGTTTACGTATTTCTACTGGAAGCTTCTTAAATAATATTGGAGATGCCGAAAACATCAAAGTAACGGCATGTCGGGCTATCCGCAAAGAATGCTCAGTTACTGCATATTACTTCTGAGAAGTTCCACCAAATTTTAGGTTTGTTGTTTATTACTGAAATGCTGATAGGGTTTCGATTAATTGTTTGATCACCAATACCGCTGAATACCTATATAGACCTCACTATAACATCATTGTAATAAAGTAGTAAATGCAGGATATTTTGTGAACAGACAATCTTTACATTTAATTGCAGGTAGGTGTTTCATAATATGTCATGATGTATTAGGCCCCACGTCTGGCCACAGTCAACACAAACGATATTCAATCTCCAAGCAAAATTGCCAGGCTCTGTCCATGACTCAAGGATTTATAGTGAATTTACAGTGTATATATACATGTAAATTAAATGGTGTAAAACCCTTTTTTTCTGCATTTTAATTTGACTTAAACAACTACATGGACTGTATTTCACTTTCCAATTATTCTAATAAAGCTGTTAAAACCATTAATTTGTATACAGTGGCTTGCAAAAGTATTCAAATCCCTTCAAAGTCAATGTAATTTTCTCCATGAAAAAAGACATGTACACTTATTTGTCCATTCAGTGTTTTTATTGTGAAGTCTTATGCAGTAATAATACACAATATTTGCAAAGTCAAAATGAACCATGTTATGTAGATATTTAACTGAAGGGAAAAAAAACAAGAGTTTGCATACGTATTCGACCCTTACCTTAATTCTTTTGGGGGTAAGTATATGCCAGTTTTGCATATCGAGCAAGAGTGATTCTTCGTCATTCTTCTTGACAATTTATAGAGATCATCTAAGCTGATGGGACGGCACCTCTGGACAGCAGTTTAAATAGTGCCACAGATTCTCAATGGGCTTAAGATCAGGGCTTTGACTCGGTCGTTCCAGAACATTCACCATTCTGTTTTTGAGGCATTCCAGTGTCACTTTGACTTTATGCTTAGGGTCATTGTCATGTTGAAAGAGTCTCATCAAGTCTGAGAAGACTCCCTGCTCCCAGCACAGGAAAAGCATCCCCATAGCAAGATGTTGCCACCACCGTATTTCACCATAGATGTGTTTACTGCGGCATGGTTAGTGTTAGCTTTATGCCACATATACCTCTTTGAAGTTTGCCCAGAAAGTTCTATTTTGGTCTCATCAGACCATAAAACCTTCTCCCACATCTTAACTGGGTCTTTCTCATGCGTTGTAGCAAATGCCATACATGCTTTTATGTGGATCTTCTTAAGGAACAGCTTCTTTCTACACTCCCATAGAGGTCTGTTTTATGGGGAGCTCTTGAAATTGTGGACCCATGCACCTTCACTCCAATTTCAGCTAAAGAACTCTGCAGACTTCTGAGAATGATGGTTGGATTTTTAGTAGCCTCTCTCACCATCTTACTCTTATGCTTTTGAGGGACAGCCTGTTCTAGTAATGGTTTTTGGTGCTGTGATGTGCAATTCACCTTCATCTTTCTGATGGTGGATCCTACAGTGCTTAATGGGACATTCAAATTCTTCAATATTTTTTGTAACCATTTCTTGCCTTGTGTACTTCAATGACTGTTTCTCACATCAACAGAATGTTCTTTTGCCTTAATTTGTGCAGTGATTGTCCAACAAGGACAATGGCCCTTCCAAAGGGTGCTTTTTATATCCAGAGAGAAACCTTACACTGAGACTTACAGGTGGTACCTAATTTAGTTTAATTATGGTCAAATGACTGTCACGTTCGTGTTGTTTATGATTAATTTACCTTTTGTGTAAACTGAGTGCTTCCAAAGCACAGGGGTTTGAATACTTATGCAAATAGCAGGTTTTTATTTATATATTTTTAATGTTAGTATACAACTGATCTATTTTGGCATTTGTTAAGATACTGTAGAAAAAGAGTTCTCAACATAAATGTTGTATGAGAATATAGTGTATATCTGTTTTATATTCTAGACCATGGGTCTAAATTTAATTTTATCCTGTTGTTATTCTTTAATCACATTTGCATTTATATGGATTTGAAAATGACAACATCTAAATAAAGCATTTAAAACATGTTTAATATACATGAAGTTTAGATAAGTTTAGGAGGGTGTTTCAAACTGGTAGCCCTTCGTATGGCTCAGTACCCGTGAAGTAGCTCTCAGTTTCAAAAAGGTTGGTGATCCCTGATCTAGACAATCAAGGGGGTTGAATACTAGACAATCTTGACTTTCAAGGGGGTTGAATACTTTTGCAAGCCACTTCAAATGTTTTATTTCATCCAAGGATTAATGTTATGCTGATGGAATTTAGTGCTTGTCATACCAATAGCAGAGCCAGAAATCATAACGTGGGTGGATCGACAGAAAATCAGGTGGACATAACAATTCACTTGGTGACAAAATCACACTACAGACGCAACTAATTTTATTTATTTTTTTACTAATACCAAATGAACAAAGTGAAAGAAAAATCTTCCTTTCAAAAGCACATTTGCTCCAATTGATGTAATGTGACAATCCAAAAACCAGTCTTTTTGGGTGTGTGTCTTAAATCTCTTTAACTTGGCTCCTTCCCGCTCATCAACTGAAATCTGTCTCACCTTTGGCAGTCTTTTCAAACTCTCAGCCAGGCCTGAACCAGGGAAGAGGGAGAGAGTGCTCTTTTGTGTTTGTTGCACTAGTTTTACACTACCTTACTCCTTACTCATCCAAACATTCACTTTTAATCACGTTTTCATTCTTGTTTTAAGTTTCCTTACTAGAGTTTTCTATGGCCCAGGACACACCGGATGCGTGGCGACTGCAGCGCTGAACTGCTGCAGCGAAGATGTTCACACCACCCACGCTGCTGCACCGCAACTGCTGCAAGCCCTGTCTTTATATATTGAGTTTACCTTTAATTGATGGCCATCAATAATAGAATGTTTGATTTCATTATAAATTTAAGTTTTAGTTTTATGGTAAACTGTCAACATAATTGTTTTCATACAATAGAAACTCTCAAACTTTTAACATAAGTATTTTCATAGAACAGCTAGTATAAATACTTATGTTCCATACTCCCACATTTAGTGGTGGGACTTTGGCATAGAAAGGGTACTTCTTTTAAAGGGTGAGAAACTTTATTACCACCCCCCACGCACCATAGGAGGTAGAGGGGGATTAATATTTGAATGCTCGCATGTGCACTTCATCTTCAATACTCTCTTACAGTCACTGGTGGTGAATGGACACGGTGCATTTATTAAGAAAGCTGTATAGAAATACATAATTTGATAATCAAGTCATGTGCATTGTCCCCCATAGTCCATTGCTAAAACCACAATTCATTGAACATGTCTGTCTCATTTTGTTGTGCAGTTATTTAATTTATTCTAACCTTTCCACTTTCAGTGGCACAATTATAAATGAACATCAATGTTGCTCTGAGTGACATTGTTAAAATTATTTATGCATCACACTAAAAAATATGTAAAATATAAACAAAATTTAAGGTTTAGTTAAAAATGTTCCAAACGGGGCTTGAACTTGTAACTGTCACGTCCATGCTTCCTCTGTCAAAAACAGGCAAAGTGTAATTTCGGTCATGTTTCACAAAAATGGCATTCTATCAAATGTTGACAGCTGAACCAGTATAGCATCTTTCTCACTTTTTCTCCCTTACTCCTCCATTTCTTCATTTTTTATCATCATATAAGCTCTGCTTGGTGCCCCTGTCCCCATATGGTTAATCCAGTCCAGCTGTTTCTGTTGCAGAAAGGTCCTTCCTCATTGATAATACTATCAGTTAAACTGACCACAGAGTAACGTTTCTCTGGCAAGACACAATGCACAATCTTTTTTAATACACGAATTGCACACTGACGCAAGGAGGTAAACAGTAAGAATTCTACACCGTACGACCGTCTGTCACATTTTCTAAAACGATCTTGACAGGTGACCACACGTGTGCGGAGTGTGCGCTCTGACGTCAATGAGTCGAAACGGTGGTATATTGACGGAACTGTTTTACGAGATTTTGTTTCCGCCAGGTGGGACTTTTTTGCTACAAGGCTAAACGAAGCTTTGCAGTTAGCAAGCTACAGGCTAGTGCAGAAGTGATAATTACCATAGTTACTATGCGGGAAATTAAATAAGCCCTAGTAATGGAACCCAACTGCCACATAATGAGCCATGTAGTAAACTGAACAAGCGGTAATCGACTGTCATCATTACGCATTATTTGCCTGCATCCACGAATCGTGGATACGTGTCATTCAGCTTGACTTCCTCAATATAATAGCGACTATAACCAATCCGAGCACTTTGTGACGAACTTCCTGCTAATATATCGTCCTTATATAATTGTGGTTGGATATCAACAATAAACAGAGTGTGGTGTGAAAACTGTAGCGCAGTGTAGCAGTTTTGAGCAATGGAAGACTATAAACAATCTACTGGTCATTGTTCGTCACGTATTGCTTTCGGATAGGTTCGAGGACGAAGCTGAGGATTGGCAGGACATCCAAACAGTCATGCACAGATTCAGTACTGCTTTCCATAAAGTATTTTTAAAATGTTAGGATGCAAATACACAAAAGGACAACTTTCATAGAGCAGTGAAAAAGCATACTCTATGCGTTTCCTAAATCCAGCTAAAAAGAACGCTGTCAATGCTAATTTTTATTACTTGAAGAGACGGATCTCTTCCGGTTTCGCAGAAGGTGAGGATTTTTCTTTTATGCTGTATAATTGAACGGTAACGGTTTACACTTGCGTCATTGGCGCTTATTGAATTGTTAAATACTTAACTTCAGTTTAATAGTAATCTGTATTAAAACTGTGCACGTTGAACAGTATTTATTTATTTTTTACCTGTTTTTTTTTTTTGTTAAGTTAACTATCTAATCTAATCTGCTCTAATGCATCTCTGTCATTCTTGGTACTCCTCATTTTCTGTTTTCCTCCACTCAGACAACGATTCAGCCACCTACGATTCAAAGGAACATATATGGGATCAAGAGGTAATAATTATATATTCGTTAGCTGACCGTCCGAATCCAATGTTAATAGACATGGAGTTGCCAGACAAATTATAACGAGTTTTAATGACGCACAAAAATCCACATTTAGAGAGTTGAATGTTAATTTGTAGCTGATTCTTTGGTGCAGCCTGTTGGAGGTGTCGAACGTGCCGGACCAGATAGACATTTGTAAAACGAAGCAAGTCTAGATTTAACATATTAGTTGCTTTTTATTGTTTTTAAAATAACGCAGTTCTTATTTGCAATGACAAATGCGTACAGCGTTGTATTTGGCTAGTCTGTCCTATGTTTTGCAAGGCAGGAAAATTGACGCCGAGCCTTGTGGTTCTCCTCGGGCAGCTGATGGCTACAGCTAAAGGCCAGAGCATCAGGGAAAAAAAAGTAACGGGCCGAAAGAGTTCCGCAGCCGCAGTTAAACGTACATGTGTATAGGCAGAACGTGCATTTCATATCCTGCTATTTCAAATGACAAGCTATAGAGTTAACGTGTAATCTTAAAATGACTGGGATCACTGTTTCAGGTAACTGAAGCCATGTTTGTTGTCCCAACAGGTCAATAAGATTTTTAAAACTAAATGTATATATTGCTATTAATATAGCCAAATTATGGTTATATAACGCAATTCAGCTTTACATAGTTATAAAAATAAGATTCAAATTATGTGTCTAATAGTCACTAAATAGTTGTTACATTTTGGACTGTACTTTAATGGGTGTTGAATTTTCCAGTGTTGTGTAATCTTTCCTGTTCTCTGTGCCTGTGATCATGCAGTTTCATCAGCTACAATGAGTGTGCTTGTGGGACAGGACAGCGATGTGGTACTGGTGTCACAGGTAGTGTGGGACTATTTGGACACTGCTAGACAGTCCTGGCTGCTGGATTTTCAGAACAGGCACGGGCTGTACGTGGAAGTGGTACGGCACGGAGAATCTGGGGACTGCTGCGCAGTCAGGCTTCGAGCAGTGGAAAACAGTGCGGCCGGGGGTGACATCCATCCTGCTGCTCGCAGAGCTTTCATAGACCTGTGCCGCTGTGCCCGCAAGGAGATGAGCAGGCAGAATGGAGCGGCCAAGAGGAGGTGCTCTCTGCTTCCCTGTGTCAGATCCTCACAGACCGACGGTGAGGGAAGTCTGTTGGCTCCCCCGCCTCCTCAAGCTCGCCATATCCAGAAGCCGCATCTTAAAGATAAGAAACCCATCGATCTGGACACCACCATTTCTGTGCCCATGTACCACAATCCGTCAGCTGGAAGGGAGGCCGAATTTGGTACCTCTCTGGGTGCAGACAGTGGGACTACCTGCACCATATGCATGGGCGAGATTGTGGAAAGAACGACGCTGGACAAGTGTGGACACTCCTTCTGTCGGACCTGCCTGGATCAGGCATTCCAGGTGAAGCGAGCGTGTCCAGTGTGCCGCATGGTCTATGGCCAGTTAATCGGGAACCAACCTGCCAATGGCAGCATGATGGTGGAGCGGGACCCAGACCTCGAGCTGCCGGGACACGAGGGCTACGGCTGTGTCTGTATCATCTACAGCTTCCCGCCTGGCCTGCAGGCTGTGAGTACTCGCAGAAGCACTTATGTTTTTGAGAGAAGTTTGTCACCATTCTTAGTTTATCCTGGACTGGCCTTAAATCTTGCCCTACATCCTGCCATATGTAGCTGCCCTATGTAAATTGTATGGGCAGGCTTTGGAGATGGAAGGTAAATATAAAGAGTCGTGATCACGGCAGCCCTATTGTTGCTGATTATAGAAATGAGATCCCTGTGATATTTCACCTCTTGACTACAAAAAATAGTACTGGCTTCTAGTAGCTGCAAAGATACAAGTTCCAAATTGTGTGGGTGGAGGTCCTGTTGACTTTTTTTTTTTTTTTTTTTATGTGTGTTTTTTTTTTAATTGTTTCCTTTTGTCTTAAAACACATGGGTGAATTTCAGCAAGAGCACCCAAACCCAGGGGTGAGGTATCCAGGAACAGACCGTGTGGCCTACCTCCCGGACAGCCCAGAAGGAAACAGAGTCTTAGGTCTGCTGCGTCGGGCCTTTGAGCAGCGACTCATCTTTACCATTGGTACCTCCATGACCACAGGCATGCAGAATGTCATCACCTGGAACGATATCCACCACAAAACCTCCATTTGGGGAGGGCCACGATGGTATGTGTTATACCCCAAGACGCCATGTTACAGTTTTCTCATTGTTTCTCATGTTTATATTGGGTGGAGTGTGGCTCTGTGGGTTAGAACTCTGTGCCCATGATCAGTAGGTCAGTAGTTAAAATCCCATGACTGGCAGAGTGATTTCACTGGTGGGCCCTTCAGCAAGGGCCTTAACCTTAATTGCTCCAGGGACGTGTGTGTGTGTGTATATGTATATATGTGTGTGTGTGTGTGTGTATGTATATATAATATATGAAGTTTGCCCTCAGTAGTCGAGCAGTCGGGGGTGGGGGGGATTGGGCAACTGATTTTTAATCTAATATTAGTGGTGACTAATCGTGTGCCCCCGCTCCCCGCCCCCCACCACCTTAGTTTCGGCTATCCAGATCCAACATATCTAGTTCGGGTCACAGAGGAGCTTCGAGAGAAAGGTATCACGGCTGACTGATTCCCAGGATGGGAATGGATGCTCCAACCCACATCCTGCTGCTACTGCTGTTAACAGGGCAGATGGTCCACCGGCCCTCACCCTGACCCACCAACAGCACTTATCCTTGTGGGAATGCAGGTGTGATCTGCACCACTCTGCTCTTCTCCCAGGTCTAGTTTTTAAAATTATTTTCTTTTAGAACAGGATTTGCTCCATCCCAGTCCTGCTGGTCAGTGAAGACATGCAAGGATGTCTTTCTTACCTCTCCTCTTTTTAGCATTGAGATATATCGAAAAAGATAATATAGTCCAAAATATAGGCACTAAAATTTTGTAACATGATGCATGTCTGTTTTTATTAACCTCTTATTTTTTATTTGTGGTGATGTTGTTAATTGTTTGTTAGTAGTCAAAGGGAAAACAAGTGTTTGAGTGGGACTACCTTTATTCCATAATGGTTTCCAGTAATATGCTTAACGTGCACATGTAGGCGTAGTAGTGCAGCAGCACAGCTCTCACTGGAGCAGGGCTACAGCTGTAGCTCTGTTTGTTCGTGGCAAAGAGATAGATAGCATTTGGAGTAATAAAAAAATCACTGGGACCTCTTTCTATCAAGCCTCAGTCTCTTAAGTCTACTTAAGTGCTACTGAAAGTCAACTCTTCCAGTGACAATTGGTTTCCATTTGTAAGACAAAAGTCAGGGAAGCCCTGGAATTGTAAAGATATTTGTTCTCCTGGGTGGATGTGGGTTGAATTCTTTGAATTGATACGTGTAACGTTTTGTCTAATACAGATATAATAAATAACCATGTTTATAGTGCATAAGAAGATTTGTTGGTAAAGAACCACTTGAATCATTGTCTTTCAAAAATTTTCTCCCACATTGAAATGTAGTCCATACTTATGTTTTAGACATGTAAAATACTTGGAGGATAATTCAGGCCTTCTTTATTCATTTTTTATTTTTTTTACTTTGTTATTGTGTCTTTTGTCAAAAATCATCTGAACAAGTTAGCACCAATAAGCCGAACCAATCTCTTTGATTTTGCTGGGTCACTGAGCAGCATAACTATTCTACATGTATTATGTCTTAACGTGAAGTATATTTTATCAGGGCACTGAACATTTAAGTACATTCATCTTTGTGTAGTTTGAAATTTGGTAGGATTATTTTGAAAGTGAAAACTTACCTTTCTGTAGTAAGTGAATAAGCTTTGTGTGAGGATTTTTTTTCCCCACTCCAAAAAATTCAGGACTGTGGGAGAGTTCCCATTCTGCTTAAACTGTATTTCTTTAGTCTATAATTTTTAAGTAAATGGAAAGAAAGTCTAGAAAATGTTCAAGTTATATGTATACATACACACACACACACACACACACACACACACATATATATATATATATATATGTATATATATGTATATATATATATGTGTGTATATATGTGTATATATATTTAATGTTTCTGTTTTCCACATTTTTTGCTTTTTGAGTTGGGGACCTGTTTCAATGTATATCGGCGCCAAGGTTCACACAGTATTCAGCATGAATGTTTCTATGCAGCACTAAAAGGGGGAGAGAAAGTACTTTAAAAATAGAAATTTTGAAAATTTGCACATGATTCTGAAAATATCATTTTGCTTTTCTAGTTCTGTTGATTTATATTTTGACTGAAATTTAATTGTTAATAACTCTGTGCTTTACATTTTCATACTTGAATAAATGGTTCAATAGTAAATGTTCTGTTGTGGTTTATATGTTGACTGAAGTCTCATGTCCATGCCATCGTATTACAGTCCATGGTTGTGCTAAGCCATGAAATGCTGGGGTTTGGGAGAGGGGCTGGTTAGTTTCTAGAAATAAACTAAATATTTTCAAGCCATGTCTTTTTTGAGACCCCTGATGTTGGCATCTGGAAAAAATAGAAATGGCTAAACTTATTAAATTTGGCTGCCAATCGATCCACTCGTTCATGGAATTTTTGCACAGGCTAACCTGGTCCATGGTATTCAGAAGGTTGGGAATCGCTAGTTTGGGGTTTTACCCTAAATGTAAAGGAAACATGAAAGGTATGTTTGGAGATCAAGGACAGGATATAGTTCCCATTTACAATGGGGCAAATTATACAAATGTATTTGGTCTTGTCATGCACTTGGATGAATTTTTACCCAGTTTTGACTGGAAAGATCATCCCAAGTCCCTCTGAGTTCAGCAAATGTCTGCAACCTGTATGTAGCCCCCCTCCCCATTTTGTTTTTAGCTTCAGTGTTTTTCAAACACACCCACATAAATTCACATCCTCATCATGTCTGCCATCAACTGCATATATAGCATAGTGCAAGTTATCCAGTAAAAAGAGGCACATTGTGGGATGCAAATTTTGCAAAGCATGGATAACTCAAGTGGCTGACACAACAGTTTCTATCGCTATTTGCAAAGGAAACATTAGAATAGAATAGAATACTTTCTGTTCCCAAAGGTAACAGAAATTCTGCTTTTGACAGGTTTGCCAATGTTAGAAAATTCCGCTAGAAAGTTTGTCAAGAGGCAATGACCAGTCAAAATTTGTTTTACATCGTAATCTAGAGATAGAAAACAGTAATTGTCTCTCATGTTCTCCCCTTCTTGAATGGTGCAGTGACATCTAGTGTGGCACAAGGTTCAACACAATCTCTTAGCTGCTGTAGTTCATTATGTTAGATGGCATGCTAAGTGATGAGTCTAACTGAGGGATGTTTTCAATAAAGCCTGCTATGGTTTCAGGTGTGATTGCATGTTTAGTGCTGTAGCAAGGTGCCAATGAAATGTCATGACTCAGATGGATGGATATGAGTGTGATCTGAAATAATGTTACTCGGAGGGAGCATGCCTTTGTTACTGGCACTGATACCAAAACTTAATATTAGGTCCAGCATATGATTGTGACTGTCAGCTAGGCCTATCAAACTCTGAGTCACTCCTATTCAGTCAAGAATTGACGCAAAGTCTTCTTCTAATGAGTCATTTTCATTCTCCTTGTGAATTACCTACTGAAATGACTAGACTAGACAGAAAGTCTGCAAATTCCTGCAAAAAATGGCCCTATGGCCCTAGTGGCTGATAAAAATGGTAAGTAATAAGAAAGGCTATAATATTTTTATTTATTTATCAGCAGGTCTACCACAATTAGAATGAGTACTTCAAATGACTTAAAAGTGCATCTTGGTTTCTCTTGACCTATGTGACTGTTTCGCAATCATTATAATATCAGATCAAATGGACAACAGAGTTGGCAGTATGGGCACACTGCTGGTCCCGTGTCAGTGGGGTGTGGCACCCCCCCAGGCCTGGATACATACGGTGATATGGTGCGGAAGGGAGACATACAGCTGTTGTATCCTCTCCTGCAGCAAGTCGGCCCACAGCTGTTGTAACTGGCCCTTGAGATCCTGCAAATTGACGCTGGGTCTCAGTTGTTCCCACACGTGTTTGATTATGGAAAGATCGGGGGACCTGGTTGGCCATGGGAAGACCTCAACATAACACAGACAGTCCATAGACACATGTATTTTAACTAATATGAATATATGTCATGTATGGACGGGTATTGTCTTGTCGAAAGACTGTCGCAGGGTGCTGTCTCAGGAGGGGTCAGACATGTGGACACAGGATGTCACTGACGTAGCACTGTGCCGTAAGGGTCCCGCAAATCACTTACAGAGATGACCTGAAGTCATACCCTATGGCTCCCCACACCATGATGTCATACCCTATGGCTCCCACACCATGATGTCATACCCTATGACTCCCCACACCATGATGTCATACCCTATGGCTCCCCACACCATGATGTCATACCCTATGGCTCCCCACACCATGATGTCATACCCTATGGCTCCCCACACCATGATGTCATACCCTATGGCTCCCCACACCATGATGCTAGGAGCAACGCCAGTGTGTCTCTCCACAACGTTGGCAGGATTGGTATTTTCTCCTCGTCGCTGCCATACGTGCCCGCGACAGTCATCCATGGTAATGCATAACCAAGATTCATCACTGAACATGGTACAACATGACTTGTCATCAGTCCATGCCTCCCGGTTATGGGACCACTCCAAACACAGCCGTGTCTACACTGGTGTTAATGGCAGCCTACGTATGGGATGGTGATCACACAGCTGGTCAGAGAGGCATGTGAGGGAAAAGGAGACCTGGTTATGCTGTGGCTAAATTTTAAGACTGCTTATGGATCCATGCCACACAAGCTGGTGGAAACTGCATTAAATTAACACCATGTCCCCAGGAAGATCAAGGACCTCATCCTGGATTGCTACAACAACTTCAGGCTGAAAGTCACTCTTGGGTTAATAACATCAGACTGGCATTGACTAGGGCATTAATACAGGATACACAATTCCACTTGTCCTCTTTGCTCTTGCCATGAATATAGTAGTTACAGCCACAGAAGTAGAGTGTATGGGCCCTCTTCAAGCCTGGCATCTGACAGCCTCTGTGCAACCTCACTACCACCACATCCTTTGTATCAAGTCGATCCTCTAAGGTTCAGAGGCACATCAACTGTGCAAGGATGAGCTTCAAGCCAGCCAAGTCACTTGTACTGAAGAAGGGCAGAGTCACAAACAAGATCTGCTTTTACTTAGATGGTATTGCAACTCTAACCATTATGGAGAAACCACTCAAGAGTCTGGTTAAGGTCTGTGACTATAGTCTCAAAGATGTATTTGGTGTCCAGACCACCATCAAGAAACCACAACCCAAAGCGTCCATAGGCCTACTCAACACTGCTCATAATTGGTAGCTAGTGGTCAACCTGGGAAAGAACCTCAAGTTTCCAGCACACATTGCAGTAACATCTTTGTAACCAGATATTGTAATTGTTTCAGTACATTCAAAACAACCCGTCCTGATTGAATGTGAGCCCAGGGAATACATGGAGAAGGCATTTGGGAGAAAGCATACCAAGTACCAGGAACTTCTGGAGAAATGCTTGTGGTGAGCTTGTTGCTATCTGATTGAAGTGGGCCACAGAGGCTTTGCTGGCTGCTGTCTCTGGAAAAGTTACACACTGCTAGGCATCAATGGGGCATTAATGAGTTCAACCATCAGCTACAGAGGCTGCAGAGAGAGCCTCTAGATGGTTGTGGATAAAGAGGGGTGATCCCTGAAGAAATCCAAAACACCCAATGACCCCAAGAAATATCACTGATGAAGTGTCTCTTATATTGGATTGTTTTAGACATTCTAGGTAGTGTTTATTGTTCAATGTTGATTGTTGGAGTTTAATTTGTGATTGCTGTCAGGGAGCTGGGGGAGGACTTTGTGAATGTGATTTCATTATTTTGTGTGTGTTTTCTATAAATCTGCATTGTTGTTTAATGTGAACATTAAAGTTTTTCAGTAATAAGGTCTTTTGGAATTACATAAATGAAAATATAGCTCCAATGTGGGTGCACTCTGCCAAAAAAATCTAAAATTTGATTGTGAATTTTCAAGTCTTGGTCTTGTTTTGGTCTTGATTAAAACTCTTGATCTTGTCTTGGTCTTGGTTGGGATGAGTCTTGATCTTGTCATGACACATGACAGACTGGGGAGGCAATCCACAGGGACGAAACAGGGCAAGGGACAACAGGGACCCAACACTAGGGTAAGTGACAGACAAAGCACAGGACTGGACATGATAGAACAGGGCCAACCAGGGAGAAGGAAAGGCGGGACAGGACGTTGGGGCAAATTCTGAAATGGGGTAGAAGGGAACAGGGCTGAGCGAGGGGGCCCTCTGGACCCCAGGAAGTAGGGCATTGATCGCGGGACATGAGCCT